ATGTTGTCAAAATGTCATGTTGTCTCATTTTTTCATAGAAGTTAAATAACCTGGTGACCACCTGGTGACCTGGTGACCCCTTCAGTTATTCAAAAATAATTAATTATTGAATAACCTGAAACCATTAACGTAAACATTAACGTAAACATATATTTCTGCAGTTCATCCATTACTTCATTACCTAATTAATTACAGACATAAAATATATTTAGTTCATTCAATAAATGCGGTACCATGCGAATACAGTCATAAATGGTGGCATATAATCTTCACCCAACCTGCAGCTTTCTTAATTCCATCCCATAATTTTTTAAAGAATCCTGCCGCCATTTCTGATTTAATATTAATTAAAAAATATATTCCATCAATTATATTCTAATTTTTATTTAATGATAAATGAAACCAATTTTAAAAATAAATGAAACAGAGGAGGAAGAAATAAATGAAAGTGAAAATGTTCAACAAAAAATAAACATTGTTAAACCAATTACTGAAATAAAAATTTTTTCATCTGTTGATGAATTTAATGACTATTATGCTAATAATAAAAAATTATTTGAAGAATTGACAACATGTAAATTGAATAAAATGTTTAAAGTTGATGGATTCAAAATTTCAAAAATAAAAGGAGTGGTTAGTTTGAAATCTATTCCCCAATCAAGAATCACCTCATTAATGAAAATAGATGATTTAACAAAAAGAATAGAAATTATTGAAGAGCGAATAAATCAAATAATTGATTTCATAAATTCAAATAATCATTAGTTTCAATTTATTTTTAAAGTTTATTTTTTATTCATGAAAATAATTATTTCTAATTTCTTTTACTCTCTCGTACATACTAGATTTAAAGAATTCAGAACTTTTACCATAATCTCCTAAATGTTTTCTTATCCCTAACGTGTGCCAGTTATTATATGAAACTGAATAAACTTTATCTTTATCTTTGCATCTTTCATCACTTCCAATATATTTATATTTCAATTTTGATTTAGCATTTTCATATTCATTAGCGTTTAATAATTCACAGTCTTCCTTTTTAAATTGATGTTTAAGATATTCAGGATTTAATACTCTACGTTTATATGCTCCTAACTTAGTTCTAAAGGTTTTTCTACAAAATTTAGGAATTCCATCCTCTTTAATGTCATCAATGATTTCCATTTCATTATTTTCAATTTCTTCTTCTCGTTTATGAGGTCTTTGATTATGACTCCATTGATTCCATGAAATTAAATATTCTTTATCATTATATTTATACTTCATTAGCTTATTTTGGCTTTCATATTCATTTAATAATTCACAATCTTCATTTTTAAATTGAAGTTTAACCCATTCAGGATTTAAACAATGTTTAATTAATCGCGGAATATCTGACATCATCTATATATAGCTTCTTTTATAAAAGATAAAAAATAAATTATTTTAAAATTAATGTTAATTTTTTTAATGTGTTTATAAATAAATATATTTTAATGCATCGTCTATATATAGATGTAACAAAAAAAGTCATTAAACCCGTACTCATATACTACTATGATCAAACATTAAAAGTTTTAAATTATTTAATAATTACGATCTAGTTGCTCAATTTATATTATATATCATCGATAGAACGAAATGTAAAATAAAATTCGTAATTTTTTTTATTCATGGCTTTATTATTAAGAGTGCGATGATCTTAATCATATGTGTGCTCTGATAAACAAAATTCCTAATTTGAGTTTTCGGTTTATTGTGTTGACCTCGTGGAAAACATTTTTAATTGTATTGACGAATTCTAACACAAATTCATGATACCAATGAATAAAAATATTAATGGTGAACTGGATACATTTATTATTTCATGAAAGCATGGGATTATGATGAATTTGAAATAATTCTTTTATGCTTGATAATGAATTACCCATTGTCCATTACTCCTAAAAAGATATATTATTTATTCTAATATGAATACTTAGTTAATTTCAATTGGACATTTCCAATTAACTTATTAATGATGCATTAGTGAAGATTCCTTAGAGGAAAAGAATTGTATTTAAATAATTATAATACTATCAAAATGAAAACTCTGATTTCAAAAAATTGTATTATATTATCGATTTGATGGTATATTTTGTTTGATATATGTTAGCAGATATTAATTATAGATAAAAATATAAGAATTTCTTATCGTTTTTTAATTGAAAATTTAAAAATGGGTAATTTAACAAGGTAATACATGGAAATATTATTATTTGTTGTGTATAATTGATAAAATAGTGAATGATTTACGAAAAGCTTATTTTAGCCTGTAAAATCATTCCAATTTCAGAGGACCTTTCAAAAAAATAAAGGGTAATTATATTTTTAGTCTATAATAAATTCTATACATTGCTATTAAGGATTTTGAACTTATAATATTGTATTGAAAACTTTGTCTTTTGTATAGGCCATTCAAAATTTCTATTCAGAATAAAATGATATCGGATTCAATAAGTGTGGCTTCCATGAAATTATAATATTATTGAATTTCGTCAAATCGATAAGCGATGGAATTATTTTGAGAGGTGAAAATATTGAAGTAATTTTTAGTCTCTACACTATTTCAATATAAGCTCCATTTTTAAACAGTTTTTAAAAATCGAGCATTGAAATGTGTGATGAGACTTCAGTTTTTCTTGGGTTAATTTTCTGAACACATAATTGGTTGGTCGCTATATACAGATGGTAATGTATAATGTTTAATTATCAAAGCTTAATCTCATTACTTGAAAATTCTGCAAAAAAAATTGAAACAAACAATTGCAAAAACGTGCAAATATTCAAAATATAACCTTTATTATGCAATAAAAACATTAACACTACTATGAGCCAGATTCAAATCCATTGCTTTTAAAAATCAATAATTAGTGATAATTAAGCAATAGGGAAATATTACTAAGATCAAAATTGCTTTGTTCCTGATTGTGAATAGGAATATTAATCTTTTGGTCAAATTTTTCACAATTTTCGTTGTTATCCACTAAATTATTAATGAAACTAAGATCCTTAAGAATTGGATGAATTATATTCCAATTTTCGGCATACCAACAGATCAAAGCGGATCTGTTTCGTTTCGCTAATCTGTCAAGCTTAATTCCATTTTTAGCGATTATGATATTGGCTAAGTTTAATAGAATTGAACTCGTTACATGAGTGTCAAAATACTTATCCATATAATTTGAGACAAATTGGTATGTATATCCATTTCTGATTATCCTCTGTTGAATTGCATCTTGATCTCTTTTACTCTGTGGAACTTTTTTGATCTGATTTTTATAAGACTGTCTGATGAGGCCATTTGTTCGTGGATAGATGCATGTTTGGAGCATTATTTCAAAAATGAACTTCAAAAAAAATTTGAATATTCCTTTCAAATTCAAAAGATTTATTATATAACAAAATGCAATTATCATCTATTAAAGTGAGAAAGTAAAATAGTCATTTTTTTCAGATGTCACTTCAAAATATAAAATATGATTTCAAAAAATAATCAGATATTCAAAAAATAAACTACTTTTCAATGGAATCGAGTGTCTGGATAATTACAAATTATTTGAGGGTGATTTTAATATTTTCATTTATATAATAAAAATTAAAATTTCCAAAGATAATAAAAATCTGGCATTTTCACGATTTATCGTGATAAATGTATTAGACAACATTAAGCATGCAAGATTATCTACATTTTTCAACTGAATCACTTAGTAAACAAAAAACTCCATTGAAAACAAAATCAATATTTTATTATCCCATATTCAATATGCATCAATTCATCGTCTAAAATATAAAAACTTTATTAATTCAATAATTTGAGAACAAATATTTTTATGTTTACATAAATATAATTGGGTCATTCATATATCCTTTATTAAACGTTATTTATTTGTTTATTTCAAATTATCTGTTGAATAGTCGATTTTTTTTCCTCCTAATAATTTATTACTGTTTTGATAATTAATATAGATTCTAGCAAATCATTCCATATTTAATTAACAAAATTGAAATGATATATACAATTTTGAATCGGACTCATAAATATTGAAATTATAATTAAAATTGAATTAAAAATCTTCTCTTTTAACCCATGAATATTTTTTCAAAATCGATATCTCTTCAGAAATTTTAATTGATCAGTAATTTTTTTAATTTCCATGTTGAGAAAATTCATTGTTATGCCTTAGACACTATGGAATCATTAGTGAGTCAAGTAAACAAGTCTTTTTATGCGTAATTAATGAACTTCTGTTGCAAATTAACAAAAAAATAAAATAACAATCTGTGCGATAATTAAATACTATGCTTATTTGTTATTTTTATAAAATCTTAGGCAAGAATTTGATTATTATATTCGCCTGTATTCATGGATTATCAATATGAAGATCTTAAAACTCAGAAAAACATGCGTCAATTTCAATATTAAACTTACCATGAGTTATATATTTATATTTTTGATATATAAAGAAATTATTTTTTTTCCTAAATGACCAATTCAAAAATATTCCATTTTCTGATGATTTATTGATATTAATATTTCAAATTCGAATAGCTGTCAACCAAATATCTGCAAACAATTTCCAAAACATAATTATACTGTTCCAATAAAATATAGTATAATAAAGCTGTTTATGCTCAAAAATATGTCTTCATCATCCAGTTTATTTCATTTCTTTAATTATATTATCTCATGCAAGTTCTTTTATTTCAATTTTGAAAAATCACGGGCTTAATTCTGGTTTTAACATGCATGATTTATGAATTCCCATATTATGAAGTAATGATGCAAATATTGCGGAATCGGAAGCAGTCAAGTCTTTCAATTGAATAAGAAATCTTCATTGTTGTTACTCGGCGATGATATTTTTATTTATTTTTGGTGTAGTTATTATAGCATAGACTAATGATTAGTATTTGATAATTGAGGGATAATTTTAAGGGGATATGAATGTGGCATCTCCCTAAAAAATTATTCAAAAAAAATGCAAGAATTGAGGATTCGAAGATTTTCAGAGTCTGAAGGGCATGGCGTTCAACCTTACTCGTCCGCTCATAAAAAGCATAATAGAGTTCTCAATATTTTCATTTTAGTAGCAGTTGTTTGGTTTGTTTCTTTGTTTACTTTTTTATTTGATCCAACTCAGTGGTATTCCAATTATTCTTATCCGGAAACAACAACTGTTGAAGAATCATGGGTCAGAAAATTCATCACTAAAGAAGACTTTGCGCGTTTTAAAGGAACATGGTTTCAATATCCATTCAACAATAAAGTTAAAAAGAGTACGAGACATAAAATATATATAAATAAGACAGAAAGTCCGGAATTTACTAAAATTGAAGCTACATTCCCTCCTTATTTCTTAGAAACTCCTCATCGTTTAAATATTAGAACAGCTCAATGGTTTTGGAAACAAAAAGTTAACCAAGACTTTTTCGATACATCAGTGAATCCAATTCGTGGTACAATTCATTTATATACTAACTCTGTTCTTAATTTAAGAAATTATTCGACAAAATCAAATTCGACACATTACTACTTAGATAATACTGTTAATATTGGTAAATCAACCGAAAATGAATACGATACGGCGATTTATATCGGAAAAGAAAAAGATTTTTGGCTTTCAGGTGTTCCAAAGATCGCTTTGATGCTTTTATCGATAGGAAAGAGAGCCAGTGATGTTGTCCTTGTAGTTGATAACCCTAAAAACCCTCAGGCAATGAGAATTTTGAAAATGTTTAATTTCAAAAAAATAATTTCATCAACAGAACCGATACATTCCAAGGAAATAGTTATTCCTGTGGAAATTCCTCGCGTTCATCCATACTTTTATGATGTTTTTAGCATGGAAATTGGTTTAAATCCAAAAATTGAAAAAGACAAAGTGGTTTTGATCAAAGATTTCCCGATAAAAGAGGATGAAAATCTTATTGCTGATATGCTGCAACAGTTATTTAGCTCAGAAATTGTAATTTTCGATCCTTTCCATGATGATTTCAAAATTATGGAAAGTGCTTCTGTAGTTATAGGAAACCATGGTTCCTCAATATTTGGATGCGTTTACGCTGGTCCAAGAGCTCGAGTAATCGAAGTTATGAACGTTGATGAAGATGGAAGACATTTTGATGATTTAGAGTTCCACAGAGTTGCCTATGATTATGCTGTAATGGTCAGACAGACATTTTACCAGTTTTATCAAACTGGATTAACATTTAATTCAAGAGTTAACGTGAAGAAGCTTGAGAAGTTTATTAGGAATGTGTTAAAAGAAAAATGGAGCTATTGATTCATTTTTTTATGTTATATTTATATTTTTGTTTTGGAATATAAAAAAAAATCTTATGGAATTAGTTAATATGCAATTTCGCATGAAGACTATAATATCTATAGATATATAAGGACAAATCCATATATGAAATTGGTTTTTATTTAGATGTCAAATTATTTTATTTTGGAAATGTGTTTAATCAAGCATGACAAAAGTTTTTCTGGGGATACTTCACGAGTATATGAAAATTATACATGTAAAAATGAATTATGCCTCGAAAATTAATTCGCGAAAAATAAAATAGCAATAATTTGAAAAAATAACAGTTGATCGGTTATTCCAACTACTTGCTTTGTTGATTAATGTTGCTATTGCGGTTCATTATCTGGTATTGTACTTTTCAAAATTATTTTAAAATTGTAATATGTTATTGATAAATAATATTAGTATTAGTCGGTTAAAAATTTTCAATCGCATTGAAAAATAATTGTTTGATATGGTTCTAAGAATTTGTATGCATTTTGTATGATGTAGTAGGAATCTCTTTAAATATCTTTTCAAAGTGGATTGAAATTAATTCATTCAAAAATCCAATAAATTGGAATTAATAATTAGCAACACTTTCTAACAATGACAATAATAATCTTCGTTATCGAAATTCAATAAGCATGTAAATCATCAATTGCTTTACTACCCTTATCGATTTTAAATATTTAATGCAAACTATCACGAAGTTTTGAGAATGATTTTATCGTTAAATCCGCAAATTTTTTTTGAAATATAACATTATTGAAAATGAATGTCTTAGTTTCGAGCTATCAAGAATTGGTGGCTCGGTTCAAAAAAATCAGAAAGATAGGTGCTGGCAGTTATGGTGAAGTCTATCTCATCAGGGAAATCAAAACTCATCAAGAATTCGCATTAAAAGTGATTCCGCTTTCATAACTGAATAATGGAAAGCCGCATGATTTGATCGCATATGAGAAACTTAATCATCACCCTAATATAGTCACTCTTTATTCAAAATTCTCTGATCAAACAAACTTTTATCAAATCTTTGAATATTGTCCTGAAGGTGATTTAGCAAATTACATCAACACTCACGGATTACTTGCTATAGAAGATGCTGTTGATGTTTTCAGGCAAATAGTCGAAGCAGTTCATTATTTACACTCAATTGGTATTGCGCATCTTGATTTGAAGCCAGAAAACATTCTAGTATCAAAATTTCCTATAGTTAAAGTCGGAGATTTCGGTCTTTCTCATATTTTTTCTCCAGGTGAAAAAATATCAGAATTTTGCGGAACAATGCACTTCTCTGCACCCGAATGCCTATGTAATATCAAATACGATGCTCCTAAAGCTGATATCTGGTCATTAGGCATTATTTTATACTATTTAATTGTTGGGAAGACTCCATGGACTTCAAATGATCGAAATATAATGATGAAACAGATTGTCTCGGGATATGTATTCATTCCTGAATACTTAATACGATCAGAAATCGATTTACTCCGTCAAATATTGAAGGTTAATCCAACAGAAAGAATTTCGACAGAAAGTATTCTTTTCCATCCATTCATGACGATACGACGTTCTTCAACCCAAATAAGGCCGAAATCAAAAACTCCGATCTCTTTGCCTTCAATTCGGTCTTCTCACAAGATTTTCTCGCCATCGGTGAAGCAGTATACTTTCGAATGATATTTTACATCTTATGGATTCATTTGTTTTTGAATCCTTTGATTTTTTTCGAAAATTTTTTTTATATATAATTTATTTTAGTTTTGTTATCAATAGAGATGAACAATATTTCAATTCTTATGCATTTCGTGATGAAATGACTTTGTAATTACTTATTTGTTAGAATAATAAACTTATATTTTCTTTCCAACCAATTTTTTAACTTTAATTTCAGTATCACAATGAATACAAACAAAAATGTAAGATATATGTCTATCTTCTTGCTAAATTTATTTACAATAGGAAGAATTATTTTGTGAAAAACACACCTATCCAACTTTTCATCAATGATACAAACAATTCTCAGGTATGTGATTATTTCTGCTTTCTAATGCCGAATGACATTTGAATCATTGATAAGAAAGGAAATAATCAATATGTTCTACAGTAATTTCGCAAACTCTTGAGGATGCTTTTATTATATATCATCTAATAGACCTAAATTATGATGTCATTCTTTTTCTTGGTTTTTTTCATTTTCATCCTTGATAAGATACCCTCGAAAACTCAAAAAATTCAACTTTGGGCCATTTAAAAGTTTTGGTCTAATGGAGTAAAGTTGTTGATTTTGGAGTTCTGATTTTGAGATTTCTTCAGTATAATTTCGATATCTAAGAAAATCAATAGTCATATGATATTAATTAATCTAACATAACTTATATTCATGCTAAATAATATATTCTAGCATTTAAATTCCCGATTTTACTAAAAACTCAGCACAAAGATCAAAATTTTTATTAATAGGCACTAGATTTGCAAAAATTTCCTTAATTATTCATTCTCTAGATCTAAACACTAGTCGAAAATCAGTAAATCATAAGTAAATTTTTTGGATTTTCCAATAAAAATTCGTAATTTTAAAACATAAAATTAAAAATTTATTCGAAAGGTTATATTTCGCCGAGGAGTGTTGATGTGAGGGAGGACTGACTTGGTCCCCAATAATAAATATAATCTTTCTCTGGAGTTGGTCTCCTGAGCATACAAATAGTAAGAATAAACATAATAAATCCGGATGTTCCAAACAAAAGTGTCCAGACCCACCATAAAACGTTATCTACGGAATAAACTTCGATATCTGGGAGTTTAGCTGAGAGATCATCAAATCTACTAATGGAAACATTAAATGCTCCATATTTCTGATTTAATGTGGCAACTGTAATTGAGTAATTCTGGTTATCTGGTACTCTAAGGTAAAAGTGCTTATTTGCCTGAGCAGAGTAGTATTGTGGTACAGAATAAGTGATCTTTGTATCTCCAAGCATTGAAAACATGTAGCATCTAGTTATTGATTCGTTTTGATTGAAATCTCGAACGTGAACTTTCTTTTGATTAATAATTGAATAGGCAAAATCGCATTTATCCGTATTAGGAACTGTCCAGTAGTAAATTAATGATCTTCCGCCTAATTTTGTTTCTTGAATTATTGAAATATCTTCAGTAAATGTATAATTTTGGTCAGCTTTCATACTAACTTTTTCATTGCTACCTTTTACTTGATAAAAGAGACGTTCAGTTAGGTAAAATTTCTGTGTTTGAATATAAAGTTTTGATTTGTTCGTAATTTGTAAAAAATCATGATTGGTGTTGCCATTTAAAACCAATTGACCGCAGTTGGCAGAAATTGGATCTAAAAGTGAATTGGATTTAACCAAAGAATTCAAAAAGAAAAACATGAAAATTGAAAAAGTGACATATTTTTATGTGTTGTAAAGTTTATGATTCAATTGTAAAATATATAACCCGATTTATATAATAATCTTAAATTTAGTCGAAATTTTGAAATTTGACAATTTTTCATAAGAAAATTGAAACTAATTATTCATATAAGAGAAAATTCTCTAATGTAATAGCTTTCGGATAATATTTTAAAGGAAATTGTATCCGATTACTAAGGAAATTAATATCTATGCTTTCAGAAAGAAATAGAAAAATATAAACAAAGATTTTTATTCATATTCCAACATATTTATATTGATTCATATTGACTTATCTTTTGCCAGTCGTAAGAACTGGCCAAATACTTAATAATTTTTTAAGTTGGAAATGATATGGAATGATAAGATTGTTGGAGTTGGGACATTTCAGAGAACTGCTGAGTTGTTTGCAAAATTGCTGAGAACGAACAACTGGAAGGTCACTGAATGAATCAATTGGATAGTAAACTGAAACAATGATGTTTCGAAGTTTGTTGGAGAGTTCGAAGACATTACTTGTGTCGATGGTGTTGAATGTGCATGCAGAGAATGAAGAGAGCAGAGGACAGTTGTAGAATGCGTGGTGACCAATGAATGTGATTGTGTGTGGAATTTCGATAGATGTGATGTTTGTGATAGCAAAACTTTCGTTCATGATGTGTGTCAACTTAGAACCTGTTTCGAATGTGACATTACGAAGATGATCACAATAGAAGAAAGCAGAATGATGAATAGAAATAACGCTCTTTGGAATGAAGACGGATTCAAGACAATGATCACCGGCAAAAGATCTTCCTAAAATGGAAACAACTGTGAAATTTCTTATGGATTCTGGGATCGAAATATCTTTGAGACATGAATATCGATTATTATTAGCTTTGACTCCACATGTTTCGTTATCAAATGTCAAATATGTCGTTGTTCCATTTTTGAATGTATATGAAACTGGAATAAAACTTAGTATGGTAATTCTAACAAATCCGTTGCCGGAATGGCCAACACTTGTTGTGCCATCTGGTTCGGTGATAGTTGTGTTGCCAGGAATGGTTTCGGCTTCTTCAAGGTAATAATCTGGAGAAAGAAGACAGTCTGGATAATATGATGATGTTGATTCTGTGTAAACATACCCACTTCCTCCTGATCCACCATTAGTATCCTCTGCACGGCCACTGGTATACTCTGTATCACTGCCATTTATTGCATTTGCACCATACCAACCGCCACCAGCACCACCACCATTCCAATCGGTGTGTGCGCCATATCCAAATCGACCTCCTGAACCTTTATTTCCTGAATTGAACTGATTTCCAGGGGACCAATTCTTTCCATAATTAAATCCACCTTCGATTCCGCCACCAAATCCGCCGTAATCGTCTTTATCTTCTCCTCCTCCACCACCACCACCGGCAACAATAACACGTGAATGAAGTGATTCTGTGTTTAATCTGATATCACTTGCACCTCCACCACCTGATCCTGGCTCACCTGAATATTGTGTGCACCATGCAGAACCACCACCATTGAATCCACCTTTGCCAATTGTACCTGGAGTGTTTGTAGTAGTTCCTGTGCCACCAACATAAACAAAAATATTTGTAGATTCTGATAAAGTAAGGATTCCTTTAGAGTAACCACCTTTGCCACCAATACCTGCATCGGTAGCTGTGCTGAGTACATTAAATCCAGCACCTTGTGAACCCCAACATTCTAAAAGGTATCGTCCGGGACTTAATGTTACTGTTTGAACGTCGTTTGTGAATTGAAAATCAAATTTAGCAGTATTTGATGTTGTCATTTAATTTAGAATAGATATAAATGTATTAAATATTATGATTCACCTCCTAAATGCTGCTACGCGAGCAGCAAATGGGAGTTCATAAATTTTTGAATATTTACATTTTTCAATTCATTCTCAAAAAATCAAATCAGATTCAATTGTTATTCAAATATTTGAGAGATTAATTAAACGATCGTTGATGGCAAGGAAAAATTTAATCAAACAATAAATTTTTTATTAAATTTCGAAAATTAGAAAAGAAAGAAGAAGTTGGAAATGATATGGAATGATAAGATTGTTGGAGTTGGGACATTTCAGAGAACTGCTGAGTTGTTTGCAAAATTGCTGAGAACGAACAACTGGAAGGTCACTGAATGAATCAATTGGATAGTAAACTGAAACAATGATGTTTCGAAGTTTGTTGGAGAGTTCGAAGACATTACTTGTGTCGATGGTGTTGAATGTGCATGCAGAGAATGAAGAGAGCAGAGGACAGTTGTAGAATGCGTGGTGACCAATGAATGTGATTGTGTGTGGAATTTCGATAGATGTGATGTTTGTGATAGCAAAACTTTCGTTCATGATGTGTGTCAACTTAGAACCTGTTTCGAATGTGACATTACGAAGATGATCACAATAGAAGAAAGCAGAATGATGAATAGAAATAACACTCTTTGGAATGAAGACTGAGGAAAGAGAACTAATCCCGGAAAATCCATATGCTGCAATGATTTCAACTGATTTTGATTCTCGAACCTAGGACTTAGAGCAACAATCCCACTGTTTATCCCATTACACTACATGCATCTCTCACCTCAGTGAATGAGATCAACTATATGATAACTTTTTCCCCATTATATTCTTGTGGAAAAGTGACAAATAGCAACTTTGACCCTCTCTCCATTTTTCAATTCATTCTCAAAAAATACAAATTCAATTCCTCTTAAATTTTTGGATCTGTTTTATCTTTACTTGGAGAATAAAAATATACCATCCGAAAAATTATGAAATCCCTATTTTTCAGATCACATTACCAAAATAAATCAATTGATTAATTTAAGCCATGAAATGATATGCCTGTGCAAGTAAGCATTACAGTCCCTTTGATTTTGGAAATCTTATTTCATAAAAGATTTCTGAAATGATGCACAGGTTCATTCTAAAAAGTGGCATAAATAGGGGCGTGAATATAGTCCAAAAATGACGCGTCCGAAATTATCAAAGTGTATCAAAATTAATAAAGACAGTTTTATTCTAATATATTTTCTCCCACTGAGGTTTTTCTCCTGTCAAATCTAAAACAGAGAGTTTTTCGCCGTCCTGGGAGAGAGAGAACACGTACATTCCGTCGCCACATGCACCAGTTGTGTAGACTGGATCTGTTGTGACGTTCATTGTTGGGATATTTCCGAATGCGGCGTATACAACTGGATGTTCTTTGACTTTTGGCTCTTTCACGCGATCGTCGAAGGATTCCTTCTTAGGGAGGTAATCTTTAGCTTGTGGATAGCTCAAAATACAGAAAACTTTTCTCGGATTTTGGGATGAAAAATATTTATAAACGTCATGTGAGTTTTCCGTCAGTGAACCGTGATGTGGTTCAAATATAAGTACTGTTTCCTCAAGACCAAGCATCTGATGAACGATTTCTTCAAGATTTACCTCGAATTTGTTCTTTTCCTTGAATTCCTTCAGTTTCTGATAGACAATATCCGTGGAATTGGTCTTAGAAAGCCTATTCTGTTTAATTGTAGCCTCTACATCAGTTAAAAACGCTTCAATTTCCGTATTTGATTTCATATCAGGTCTATCGATCCTCAAACGCTTCAAATGACATCCTTCTGCATCTCCTGTGAACATTACGCGTCTTCCATTGATGTCAATTGTCACAAAAAGCGAAATTTGGTTTTTATGAGATAAATCTTCAGGAAAATCTTGTCCCCAGACTTTCACATCCAAGCCATCGAGATACTTGTACGTTCTAGAGTCGTATTCGCGTCCTATGAACTCAAATTTATCTTTTCCGATTAATTTGAATAATCTTTCGATCATTTCACCTTTCCAATTGTCCACTTCACCTCCGAGTAAATATTTTGTGTCCTGGAAAGATTTTCCGAAATCATTAAACAAATCATCGAGATATGAGAAGTGATCCAAGTGGGAATGGGTGATAAAGACCTGTTCTACAGATGAGCCATCGAAAACGAGGTTGAACTCTTGTCTTTGACGTTCTTTTTCGAGATTTCTGGAAATATCCTTAATTTTCTCTATAATTTCGAGAATTTCGGGCTTCTGATCGACGGTCATGTTCTCTATAGACGCGATCAACGCCTTTTGTTCTGTAGTTCCCGTTTTTCGGACGAATTTTAAAACTTTTCTGTATTGGCCCTTTGGCTCGGCTCTAGAGTTTGTTTTGAACATGTTCTTGACCTTGCCTGGGCATTCGAGGAATTTGTTGAGCTCAAAAATCAATTTATCTGATTCTTCAATAACTTTAGCGTAATCTTTCTTTGTTTCTCTGTATTTCTTGATGATTTCGCCACCATCTTCGCCGGCATCGACAATAACTACCTTATTATGGCGTCTTGCAGCTAAGAAATTAGCTTGGCCGGTATTAAAGGCAAATACGTATAAATTATCGGTAGAAAAGTCGATAAGCTTGTCCTCAAATGCCATGTAGTTATGAGATTTGTACATTCGCTTGATAGTTTCTTTGATTTTGTCTGAAAAAACGTATAAAACGTTTTTTTCTTCTTTTGTTTGAGCAATTTGGAAGGAATAAGGTGTAAGCATGCACCCATGCTTAAGGAGCACTTCTAAGAGCGATCCATTGTCTTGTAAAGAAGCCCAATCAATTACAGCGATTTCTTTGCCATCTGATTGGATAAATGAGACATTTGGGTTCGCACCTTTCTTTACCATCATTTCTACGAGAGAAACTATTCCTTTTTCGCAAGCCCAAGTTAATGGAGTAAATTTCTTGCCATTTTTATCTGAAAACTCTTCATTTATGTTTTTTGGATCTGATAATGCCTTTTCCACTTGTACGAATGAATCTTTCTTGCAAGCAGAGACAATATCACTCATTTTTATTTTTGAAAAAAAAATTGTCACTTTTTTTGTTTCTCCATATGATACGAAAATTTTTTTTCATCGTATCATTGTAGATGGAAATTATTGTAAGGCTACGTGTATAAGAATGAACGGTCTGAGAATTAAGCTTGTGCTTTGATTATTTTCAGAAATTTTCAAATAAAATGTGAAAACGAATTGTTTTAATAACAATACATGTCTTTTTGTGTAGAATCAATACGATTTGGCGGAATAATTAAGTGATTTCGAGTGGAATATGACGTCAAAAATTGTAAATTATAAATGAGCGCGTAATCAAGCGATGTGATCTTTTGGCTCATGAGTTCCGAATAGTTTTGCATTGGAAGATCTATGATTTTCGCATTGTTTACCTGCTTATTCAAAATGGTATTGTAAATCGCTAAAATGAAGACGTAGAGTGTCGATACTCTTCATTTCGAAGCAAATCCGTCATTTTGAACCCTTCTTAAAATTCCAAATTTTTTTTGAAATTCGAAAAATGAACTCGATTTCAACAATTTTGATAACGGCATTTTATTTTTTGTAATTTTTTTGGAGGTTTTTCTTATTGAATCCAATTTTTTGACTGAACAAATCAATTTATTCCATTAATAAAACGACAAAATGTAATCAATTTTGAATTAATTTAATAATTACGGTCAGTTATCTTTAAATTCATGTTTTTCAAATATTGAATTTTTATATATTATGATTAATGACATACATGAAGATGTAATTCAGCATTAAACAACCATTAAAACTTAAATCAATTCCAAATTCTTTAAAATTATAAGGATTCATCAGATATTTTTCACGGATTAAGATTTAAAAACTATTTTGTTCAGATTGGTGATCATGAAATTTATGTATAAGCAAAAGAAGTTTATAATTTACTAAGTGATTTTAGCTAAAACTCTAATAAATAACTTTGACTCTATTCAACCATACAAAATCTATTTTGTTCTAGCATATTTCTTAGCCTCTTCAACTAAGCGTTGGTATACTGGTAAGAATGAGTTTGAGCATACTAAAAACAATTCTGGGTGGAATTGAACTCCAAAAACAAAACTACCTTCCTGCTTATGGAAGGATTCAATTATTCCATCAGGAGACATAGCATCAATGACAAATCCATCGGCAACTTTATCGATACATTGATGATGGAATGAATTGACACTCATGGAAGGAGTATTAGGGAATATTTCTGCGAGGACAGTATTTTGATTGATATTTATTGTATGGTTAGGAATACATCCGTTGTCAGTTTGGTAATGAATTCTTGAAGGTAATTTATTTGGAGTTAATGAAAGATCTTGATACAAAGTTCCTCCAAATGCAACATTAATCATTTGCATGCCTCTGCAAGTACCTAATATTGGAATTCCTCTTGCATATGCAGATTTTATGAGCTGTAACATGTAAATATCTGTAGCATAATTGGTTGTATCCAAGAAAGGAGTTGGATCTTGTCCATATAATGATGGCGTTATATCGTAACCACCTGGAATATATAAAGCATCAATCAAATCCAACTGTCTTTCAATCAAATCAATTGAAAGATTTGTTAACACAGGTAATGTAATTGGAGTTGCGCCAGCTTTTTGAATTGCATCGATATATTCTAGGTCATCAAAAGAATAATCTGATGTGTTGAACTTACCGGTTTCATTTTCATTTAATCTGAATGTCGATAGACCAATAACGATTCTGTGTGTGCTAATATCTTTGTTTTTCTTCATTATAGCCACTGCAATAAAGATGACAGTCGCTGTAGTCACTAATATGCATAGAATTGTAGTGCATAAGCATAAACAAATCATAGTTATCTGACAGCAACCTTTCTTACTAACAGAATTCTTATCAAGAAGTGGCTCAGCTGATTCGTACATTTTTTTTATTTTATCTGACCAAGTTTTGCCATGATGTTTCATTAGACGCGTCAATGTTGAATAAGAATTTATCTTGTTTATGGGGCCAAATAAACAAAGATTGAGTTCATTAGATTTGGTGTCTTTAGTTTTATAAGTTCTTTATATCAAGATTTTTAACCAATCTTCTAGGGAAATTTTTCCCTTCATTCCAAAAACCAAAAGTTCATCAAAACGAAGATATTTTTTTAGAAATCTATGAAAAAACCATCCAAAAACATTCACACATGGAATCAAACAGCGAGTAAATAACATATATACACATTTTGTATAACAACATTAAAACAATTTTTTTCATAAAAATATATAACATGGAGAGACCATACGAATGAAGGTCCCTCTTTGTATGATATGGTTAATCGATAACTACATTAAACAAGTATCTTCCTGACTTTCTTTGGATGGTCTGTGACAACTTGCTTCATTGCCACATATTTGCAGTATTTTTCAAATTCCTTTCGTCTCAAGTCGATGAAAGGCTCATTGTTCTTGGTGCGGCTAATTAACAACGAATTGATTGAGTACTTATTCATTGTACCATCGGGATCTGATACACAATTGAAATATTTATCACACAGCTTGACTTCACATGGTGCGTTTGTCTTTTCAAGTACTGAAGCTGCTGATAAAATAAACGTAATCTGATATAGTTTGCACAAAATAGTTTTTGTAATGTTTTTGCCACGCGATAAGTAAACAGCTATTTGTCTAATATTAAGCGTTTGACGTTTCAGAGCTAAAAAGAGCAAAAGACATAATTGGGTAATTTTTCCTATCGTATCGCACTTTTCTTTGGGGATAATTTCCTTTAATTTAATCAGTTCATTCTCTACACCATTGGCAATGGCGATTTTATTCAATGTTTGGGTAATGTTATCTTTTCCAATCCATTTTATTGTGTCTACACTTTCGTGTTGACAACATCCAATAGTTTCAAGCACATTAATTACATCATAAAACCTTCTGCGCTGAAAATTGAACTTCTCACACATTTTCGATAATTTAAATTCTTCTAAACCTTCAGCTTCTTCAAGGAACTTCATTATTGAGGTCTTAAAGGAGTCATTACCACTAGGACTATCAATTCGATCATCCATGAAATTAGAAATCAATTAGATGAAGGTAAAAAAAATTGAATTAAGAATAGTCAATTTTGAGTGAGCTCTTTGAAAAAATGACAGTAAAAACAATAATAAAAATTTATTGATAAAAAGAATTAATTTATTATGGTAGTTAAAAGTAAATCATCTTTTGAAATGAAAATCGGTTCATAGTACATTGAAAATTCGGTACAATTTACAAATAGTTATTCTTGGGATGCAATTATATAATTTATCAAATTTATTTTAAATAAAATTTTGGTTCAAGACCCGTCAAATAAATTATTCTCAAATTAAGTTATTTTATAATCTTATTAGTAACTTTATGGACTATAAAAATATTTACTTTTCAGACAAAAATATGAGAATACATCGTTTTGTAAAAACCATGACAAGTGTCACTTTTATCCTTGGATCTTTCAAATTGGAAAATTCGTCAACTTCATTATATTATTATGACTATTCTATTACTTTATTATAAATAGCTTTATCAAGGAAAGATGGATAAAATTATGTATAATTTCATCTTCTCAATCAATGAAATCACTCTCTATTTCAAATTCAAAGTTTCCATAATAACTGGAATAATTAGCACATTTATAATTGATGTATGACATTTAATGATTTTGTTTTTTCACTGCATTCCTTCCATATTGTGGGGTCATTATTGATTTTGTAATTTAATCGTCGTCGTTATCGATTTTGTAATTTAATCGTTATCGTCTTTTCTAAACGTGCATTTTTTGCTTTCGGAGCTATTGAACATACATTGGCCCTTACCAGCAATTGAAAACTATTTTTCATTATCAACAATTACATTACTCCGAGTTATTCATCAATCAATGAAAATCGATATATAGTCCATACTTCAATTTACAATATTGGCAAGTCCAATTTCACTTGGCATATTTAACTCATATAGAAAAACCAGTTGGAATCGGCAAAATTATCTTTAATTCCATACGTAAGAAAAAAAAATTATAAAGTTCTTCAATAATAGCAAACTAATAGTTTAAATAGATTTACAAGTATCGCCCATCTACTTTTGATATAATTCACATATTAAATGTAGAAAACTGGTTTAAAATAAATATTTATTTGGTTGAAAGTTACAAGCTCTCAATTTTCGTCCCTTTTGTACGTTTATTATAATTGTAGCATATTGTCATCAAGCACGCGACTAACCAGCAAAGACGTGTCCTCTAATTCCGTCCCTAGTTCAAGAATCTGGAACTATTTAAGCAAAAACATTCGATTTCAAAATCAAGCATTCTTTATTCAACGAGTAAAACATTAAAGTATGATTTGTCATACACGGAATAATGACAAGCTCTTAGAGTATGTTTAGTACAGAGTTACTGCCAACTTGAGTTCTTGAATTTGGTAAGTTAGAACAAAAGAAGCCATATGTCGCATCTAAGGACTTGTACTTATCAGAGTATTACTAAATGTTTAAGAATGTTAGTTATTCGTCCCAAACTCGTACGTTTCCACGCGAATCTTGATAATAAATATACTATTTTGGACTTTTTGCAATAAATCTCTTTTTACCACATTAGCATATCTGTGTGTATGCTACTTAACCTCTTTAGAGACCATTAAGATAATGTTTTTTGATACTTTTTCAAGACTATGCCATAAAGTAAACGAATAATTTACAAAATGATATTAAAAAATTTAATTTTATTATGCTTTTATAAATATTGAGACTTTTTAGGACTATTTTAAAAATGTAAATAGATCAATCATTTTAATATTAGATAAGATAATCTAAAGACGTCAGATGTTTCAATAACTTCAGATCAATGACTAATATGAAATTTAAGATTTGTGTTAATTTAAGAATTAACAATGGAATCTGGTTTAGAAAGATGGAAAGCATAGAGAATCTAAAGGATAAGAGAGATTAAATACAAAATGCTGCATAAAAAGGCAGATCAGTGAGAAGAAATCATGAGGTTAAAAAGGAACATTCAAATTAGAATATAACATTGCATATTACAATATTAATATTAAAGATAATACTGCACATCATTGTGCAGTGATCCATAAATCAATATTAATATCTCATATGATAAAATCTAATATCATATTACAATATTAATATTAAAGATAATACTGCACATCATTGTGCAATTACACTATTTTAAATATTTTCATAAATAATGACTTACAAGTTAAAAAAATGTAGAATTAACTACATGATCCAATATTGGACCGAATGTATGTTTGAATCTATAACTGAATTCATTAATGACAAAAAAGTGACTCTATAACTGAGTATCTGGCTGACAATATGCCTGAAAGTTTGAATGTGTCTAGGAATATAACTGACAGTTTGAGTGACATTTTGAATGAGGGTTTGGTTGTCAGTATAACTCAAGGTTTGAGAGAGAATATGACTCACAGTTTGACTGACAATATGACTTAGAGTTTGAGTGACAGTATGAACAACAGTTTGGGTGATAGTATGAACTACAGTATGACTGAGAATATGACTGACGGTTTGACACACACGATGACTTACGGTTTTAGTTAGAATAAGACTGACAGTTTGACTGACAATATAACTGACGGTTTGACTGACAATATGACTGTTGATTTGAGTGAGTGTATGATTAAGAGTTTGGGTGACAATATGACTCATAGTTTAAGAGAGTGTATGACTGATGGTTTTAGTGAGAATAAGACTGACAGTTTGGGTGACAATATGACTGCTAATTTGAATGAATATATGACTGTCGGTTTGGGTGAGAATAAGACTTCGGTTTGACACACACTATGAATTAGCTTTTTAGTTAGAATAAGACTGACAGTTTGAGTGACAATATGACTGACAGTTTGACACACACGATGACTTACGGTTTTAGTTAGAATAAGACTGACAGTTTGACTGACAATATAACTGACGGTTTGACTGACAATATGACTGTTGATTTGAGTGAGTGTATGATTGAGAGTTTGGGTGACAATATGACTCATAGTTTAAGAGAGTGTATGACTGATGGTTTTAGTGAGAATAAGACTGACAGTTTGAGTGACAATATGACTGACGGTTTGACACACACTATGAATTAGCTTTTTAGTTAGGATAAGACTGATAGTTTGACTGACAATATGACTGTTGATTTGAGTGAGTGTATGACTGACCGTTTTAATGACAATATGACTGACGGTTTGAGTGACAATATGAATTACGGTTTTAGTGAGAATAAGACTGATAGTTTGGATGACAATATGACTGTTGATTTGAGTGAGTGTATGACTGACAGTTTGACTGACAATATGACTGACGGTTTGACACACACTATGACTTACGGTTTTAGTTAGAATATGACTGATAGTTTGACTGACAATATAACTGTGGTTTGACAGACACTATAACTGTTGATTCGAGTGAGTGTATGCTTGAGAGTTTGGGTGACAATATGACTCATAGTTTAAGGGTGCCCTATAGACGATAGACCACCCTCAGAAAAGCACTTTTAAGGTTATTTCTGTTAAGCTTTTATCTCGTTCAAGAGAGAGATTTTTTGAACTTTACCATATCATAATGCTTAGTTATATTATGACCAATCTCTACGATTTTGAAGATTTAAATTACGTTGAGAATTCATCGATTTTGTGATTTTTTGATTTTTTTTCGAGTTTTTTTGATTTTTTCAAAAAAATAAAAAAGAAAGAAAATAAGGAAGGCATATAGTGTTTTCATTAAAAACAATTATTACAGTAAACAATGTCGCCAATTATTGGTTTTTTGAAATAATAAATTTGAAAAATGAAATATTGAGCATATATATAAAAAAAAAAAAAAAAAAAAAAGGTAGTGGGGCCTCCAGGCACTTCGTGCCCTCTAGCCCCGAAGATGTTTAGTATAATTGAAGTATAAAATGAGGTTTTTTTTGGGTATAGGGGGCTTCCCAGGGGCTGCGCCCCTTCTAGCCCTAAAAATTTTTGAAAGTCGTTGTCGTTGACTTTTCGGTAGAGGACTCAAAATAGTATAACTATGTCCGGACAAGTAAGGGTCTATCGTCGCTACAGAAAAGTTACGGGCGTTCCAAGGAAGTATACTTTGAGAGACTCTTTAGAAACTTTAGAATGAGATAGGACGGTTATTTTACAAAACTGACAAGACTTTGACCGACTAGTTTTCATGTTTTGTCACTTTTCGGTCACTTTTTCAGGTAAAAACAGTTTTATTATATATATAAAATGAATTTTACAAAACCACCGTTACCGTTCTTTGGAAATAAGAGTAGATGTAAAGATATTCTATTGAGAGAACTTAAGAAACTACCGAATGGTCTAACATTTGTAGATTTGTTCGGTGGAAGTTTCTATATATCCCATTTGTGCCATACTGTATTTCCTGACTCAAAGATTATATGCAATGACTTCGACAACTATATGAACCGTCTCAAACATATACCAGACACAAACAAAATATTGAGTGAGTTGAAAGAAAAGATACCTATAGGTAAGATGGAAAGTATACCATTAGATAAGAAAAATATTGTCAGAGAGGTTTTGAAAAAAGTAGAATATATAGACTGGGATAGTATATCTGCTAGACTATTATATAGTGGTTCTATAAGAGTTCATGACATTGAAACACTTATGTCAAACGTTTTATATCTTAACTATACAAAGGTTTTCAAAGAGGACATAGAAAAATATATTGAGGGTATAGAGTTTGTGAGATGTCATTGGACAGAGTTGTATGAAAAATTTAAAGACAAGGAAAATGTTTTCTTTATAGTAGACCCGCCGTTCTATAACACATACGATTTTCAATACCAAGTAGACTGGACTTTGAGAGACTCTTTAGAAACTTTAGACGTTTTACATAACCATCCATGCTTTTACTTTACATCCGATAAAAAGTGGTTTGGAAACCGTTATGAGATGGTTAGAGGACATACATGACTATGAGTTTAGATATGACAAGATAGAATATGAGAGAGGTCCTATAAACCGGAAAAAGTGTCACAACAAAG